CCACGCGCACGCGCACCCCCGCCCACGCCCACACCCACACCCAACCACACCCACACCCACACCCACCCATACCCACACCCACCCAGCTCTCTTCTAAATAAAAGATCACGAAATCGAATAAGAAAGAGTTTCTCACCTATCTTTTGAAATGAATCAAGAAGTGAGATGGGACGAGTTAAAGACGGTGGACAAATGGAATCTTTTTTAGCTAATAATATCATTTGGGTATCTTTCCATGCGGAAGGTAAAACTGACTTTTGAAAAGAATGATTATACAGTTTTAACAATAAAGACCAGTAATTAAGATCAAGAAAATTAAACATATAATTCGAAATACCATGAGCATCTAGAGATTTTTTTTCCTTTTTAGCTAGAACAGTATTTATAAGTTCATCAAGTGTTACTTCAAGAATAAATTCATTATTATTATCATATTCAATTGGAGGTGAATCAGTATATGGGTGAGGTCTAACAATATATGATGCTTTAAAAAAATCTTCGTAATAATCAGCTGCTACATTACACATATGATCACTTTCTTTGACAATTTGTCCTGATGAATCAATAAGAGCATGTAGAGAAGAGGATGACGGTTTGAGAAAACGTTTACTTCTATACCAAAACCAGATAGATGATGAAGAAGGAGCATTACGAAGACGAAGAAGATTATCAAGTTGAGAAGAAAAAAGAAGATTAAGTTCTTTTTTAGCAATTTTTTTAAAGAAACATACCTCCTTTTTTAGTAAGCTACATTTCGTCCTTAATTGTCTAAAGGATAAGGCTCTCATATAGGATAAGAACGACCTTAGTTCAACAGGTAAGGCTGAACAATATTTGTCTAAGTAAAAAAAGGTTGTACAACGAGCAGACAAGAGATATAAGAAACGGATGTAATCGTTATATGTAATATCAATAGAAGAGAGGTTCCAATTCTCTTCCCAAAAGAAGAATGTGTATTCCGAAAAAAGTGAAAATACTTTCCAGTGAATATTTTCTCCTAATTGATCACTAGTTGTATTTCCATTAAAAACTTGAATATCAAGATTTAGACCTCGAACAAATGCATAATCGATTACTCTATCAGATCGTAAAGAAGTCGGAGAATTCGATAGAGCTTGAGCTAGAAATTGTTCATCAGCCCATTGAAGTAATATTTCAGCTTTTTTTCTATCCTGCATAATGTCAACATTAAAATCACCATAGATAACACATTTCTTTGATAAGAAATGGGAGAGATCATCCCATGACCATGTTTTACTATCAGATGCATACACGCCAATTAATCTAAAATCTTCTTCACCTTTAACATCGACTACACAAAGACTAGGTAACTTACAGGGAACTCTACTTATCGAAATACCTTCTTTAATAAGCATTAAAACCCACCATTTTTGTTTTCTCCTTTTTGATAAAAAAATCTATAGTTACAGAAAATTTTTTGATGAAATGAAATATCTAGATCACCGGTTCCAAGAAGAATAAGAGCATCAAATTGAAATGAAGAAATAAGAAGAAGAACTTCTTGCCATCTAAGATAAAGTCCACGAACATTAAATAGAAGAACATCAAAAGAAGAAGAAGGAGGTTTATCACGGACAGAAGTAAAACTCTCCCATTGAGAGAAACAAGAATAGAGATTTGGACTACTTTCCCATTCCTCAAGGATTTTGCAAAAAAGATTGAAATCGAAATGAGAAAGAGAATCTTTAGCTTTACATAAAAAATAATTATGTTTAGAAAGTTTAGCAGGAGAAACACATGAGAAAAAAGGAAGAGCAAAAGGAGAAAGAGACATTAGTTGATAGAATATTTACCTTCTTTTATTTTCTTCATTTGAATAAGATAACGTTCAAGTTTAAGTTTACGATCAGGATCAAGTATATTTCCTTTTTTGTCCTGATTTTGGGATGCAGTTACACCAAATAAATCTTCAAACATCGGAACAATTAATTTCATAAATAAGTTTTCATGTCGTTCAATTAAAAGACTTTGTTGAACCAAATCTTTTTTAAATTCAACCGATTGTTCGGACAATAAATTTAAATTTTCTTTAATAAGTAAATCATTTTCTTTTTTTTTTCGACCATAAATTGCTCAAAGTTATTATAGTTTAATTCAAGATTTGAAAGATGATTATTTACTTCTGTAATTTTTCCCAATAAATCATCTAATTTCGTTAACATAGTATTATTAGGATTAGTTGGTAAAAATTGAGGCATAGACATTGGTGGAAAATCAGAACTTAAATATTTGAAGTTTGAGTTACTCATGTTGTTTAAGGTGTTGCGGGTGGAATAAGTTGAACTACTATTGGAAGATAAAATTTTACGTGTTAATTCAGATCTAAACGATTTTACTACTTGACATCTAAAAGAGTTTGACTTGTGGTTTTGATCACAATGAATACATTTTTCAATATTAAAGCAAATATGTAATTTTAAATCATCAGCACATTCACCACATGTATGACAGGTACTCTTGACTTGGGTACATTGCTTCATGAAGTGACCTAAATTTAGGCATTTAGAACATATTAAAACATTAACGGGTGTTAAATATTCATCAATGTCATAGACTATATAACCAACAGTAATTTTTCTTTTAATTAATAATTCTTCACGTAAAGTAGAAGAAGATAATTCAAGTTTAACTAATTTAATATCATTGTTAAATTTGTTTTTTTAATCTAATAACATTTTTAACTTGTGGATAACGTGTTTTAATTTCTTGAGAAAATTCATTGAAATCCAGACGAAGAGCTACATTTTTAACTAACAATGATAATTGTGGTGGAATAGAAGGAGAATATGAAAATGTATAGTTTACATCACCAAACGTATCAGGCCAATGGTTCTGGTCTCCTAGAAAAGAAAAGGAAGAAGCATCTTTTCAGAAAAGAAGAAAATCATATTCATTGTTGGAACTTCTATTAGATAAACGACAATTTAAGATATTGATTTCCATTTGATATTTTTTGTTACAAAAAGCAGTTAAATCTTCTTTAATTTGGTTCGATGTAACTTTACCAGTATTGAACCTGATGCTAAAGGGGGAAAAGGGGTAACGTGTTTGTGCATAACGAGTAGATTCAGTAGTGATTGAAATCTGTTGTGGATGAGATAAAGATAGAGCACCTTGAACTTGTGGATCACCTGAGACTCGTTGAATATCTTGCAATTGTTGAACATTTTGAACTTGTTGAACACCTGGGACCTTATGTAGTAAAGGTTCAGCAGCAACAGAGGCAGATATAGAAGACAAAGGTGAGGATGCAGTAGATTTTGAAATAATGTTTGTTTGATAATGTGTACGTTTTTCCTTAATTGTAGATGTCGTACGTTTGTGTTTAATTTTCTTTTTCTTTTTATTTTCTACTTGTTGAAAGCCATCAAATGGAACATTGGACGAAAGAAAAACAAAGGAAAAAAAGTATAGAAAGAAAAGAAAGAATGCGATGCGACTTATCGGTAGCTCGAATATATGTGAGGAATGTGAGTGTGAAAATATTTGTTCTTTTGCTCATCTACCTTACTCTCCAGCGAAAGAGAAACGTGTAGTAGTGACGCTTTGATGGTTTTCTATACTTGCATATTTTCATTCTTCATCCTCATCGTCTGCATAACGTGTGTTTGCTTCTGTATACGATAGAAAGAAAAACACGACAAGAAACGCCGTACGCACCACAGCATCATTTGCTTCCTATTATTCATTCTTTCTACCTGTGCACAAGCAGAACAATTTCTTATTTGTTGAGAGAAAGCATTTGTTCGCGAAGCAGTGTGTAAATCAACCAAACACGTCAACATGCCTAAGACGGGCTATGAGATTACATACCAGGATTTCCAGACATTGATGAAAGATTCGCTCATAGATGAACTAGTCCGAGAGGTGATTGTACCTTGCATTCAACAATGGTTTGGTTATGAAATTCAATCGGCACAGAGTGGGTTCAAGCTTGTCGACAAACAAGGAAAAGAAGTTGACCCAAAAGCAACACATGATGCTATACAAGCAGATCCACAGCATCAATACGATCTTTACCAAAAGTGCATGAACCTTTGGAGATGAAATGTAACGTCGAATATTATCTTACCTTTCAACTCTTAGACTCTTACAATATGAAAAACCGCACCTGTTTTAGAATTATTTTCCGCACTATAATTTATAAGCTTTCATGAATAAATAACGATCGTCGATGGAACTCGCTTCACCCTCGACTGAATTTTATTCCCAATTCTGATCAATCTCTTTCAAAAATAAACTTTTGACTTTCCTGAAAGGAGGGTGTGGGTGTGGGTATGAGTGAAGAAATGAGCTACACTTACACCCGCATCCACTCACCCACACCCACACCCACACCCACACCCAAACACCCATAGCCACAGCCGTAGCCACACCGACAAGGGTGTGAGTGTAGGTGTGCTAAAGATTAGATATGCACTCACACCCCGCACCCACACGCACATTCACACCCTTTTCCCAATATATATTCCGATTCTATGCCCACTACTCATATTCATTTCGGTCAATGTTCGGTTTATGGTCCAATTGTGTAGATCGGCATTCAAGCCATTTCTGTGTCTTAAATTAGTGACTTCAGGAATACTAAGAAAATGTTCTCACTACTTTTTATTTATGAAAGCAAACAAAAAGAAAGGTACATGCACATAAAATTCAGGTTACATGTTTGTCTCGACTTTGCAAACGAACTATGACATTTTTCGGTGCAATAGTGACAATTTCATCCAGTTCTTCAGTTGATCTGTGTGTTTGTTTACCACATTCAATGACTGAATAAGTTTTTAGCAAGCGAATAAGAACTAATTTCATTTGCATCAATGCAAAGCGCATGCCAACACAATTTCGTGGTCCACTACCAAATGGAATCCATGCGAGTGGATGTCTTTTTGTAGCAAATCGTTCTGGATAAAATACATTCGGATCAACTGGACCCCATAGATCAGAATCAAAATGTACACTATAAATATCAATACCGACAATTGTTCCAGCAGGAATCGTACCGAAATGACTAATATGAAAATCTTCTACACTTTGTCGATTGCTGGCAATTGGTGCAATTGGATACATACGAAGAACCTCTCGAATGAACATATCTAAATATTCCATTTTCGAAATTGTTTCATAGCTGAGCATATCATTGTCTGTGTCCGGATTGAAATGAGAATCGATATGTTCTTGTAATTTTATTTGTTCATTAGGATTAGTTGCAAGAACATAACAAGCATAAGCTAGTGCAGTACTTGTTGTTTCATATCCGGCGATCACTATATAGAAATAAATGTGTTGATAACAAAAAAAACTCATTCAGACAAATAGAAATTACTCACTAAAGAGGTAAATGTTACCGGCAATTTCATGTTTGGTAATCTTCCGAACAAGTGGTGGTGCTTCGATCTCTGTGTCCGTAGTAACATCAGTTGGTGCCGAACGATCCTATGATAGTGAACAACAGAACAATTTAATACATCAAATTCACTTATTTTTGAGTACAACTCATTTCAGAAACGATCGTTCTACATTATATAGATAACAGAAACAGTAGACAATAAATAGCTAGTCTATACAATACAGAGTTAAACGTGTTGGACTTGAGCGATGAGATAGAGTACTAATATTAAAAAATGAGATTGATCATGTTTCATATGAAAGTAAATTCAGCTTCATGACCCCAAAAAAGTCTCTAGTTGTCAGCACTTTTTTCTATCTTTCGAACTTTCAAAAGTAAATCCTCGAAATCTGGTCTGACAAAAATTGCATTAGATTAGAAGAAGTTCTCACTCTACTCATTAGTTAGCATGTAGTAAAGCTCATTGACCCAAATATGAAAACATTTGCAAAAGCTTGTTACAGAAAATAACCGTATCAAAATTTTAAATAGAAACTTGGTCTGGATAATAATTGAGAAAAATGAGCATTAAAATGAAAAATCTGACACTTTTATCTTTGATAGAAAATCCTGATGCATCTTTTTGTTCGCACTGAAAACACTTCACCTCTTATTTATTTGAATCTCTGTGGGAATGCTTGACATACATCAAGCATAGAATCAACGGAGCAAAATGTCATACTTCAATGAACTCTTGGTCCGATGCTGATCCAAGCATCAATTGTAATAGATCCATTCGGCTTGTGTAACCCAAATTAACTCTTTTCTTGATTAGTTCTTGCGCTTGTTTCTTTATCCATATAATTGGATCATCAGTGATCAGCTTGCGTGCTAGAGGAACATAATGCCGAAGCCATCTGCGCACGATATTATCTACCGCGTCTAATGTAATCCAAAACCACTTGAATTCAGGCATGAACAGAGACAAAAGTACAATCTTCCTATAAGCATTTTCTGCACTGAATACACGTTGTGATTGAATAAGATATGGATCATTCGGATTGTTTTGCATGTCTGTGTCAAGACCAAATCCACATGACCATATAGTATCCATTGTAAAGCGTTTTAAAAATGCATAAATATCAAATGGTTCGCCAAGTTGATATTGTTCAGTTAATTTTTTCATTAATGCGTCGATACTATGATTAATTAATGGAGACATTTGTTTGAGTTTGATGGATGAAAATGTTGGATTAATAACAAATCGTTGCCGTTTCCAACGAAGACCTTGAGCAATAAATAGATGACCTTCTTTCTCATGTGGTTGATCGAATGTATATTCACGATGTGAATGAAAGTTTGAAAATGATGTAATAAATATATCTTGTAAAATATTTGGATCGGAGACGATAAGAATTGGTGTATGTCCTTCAAAGTAGCCAAATACTCGACCATATTTTTTCGTCCATTCTTTCAGACATAATGACAAACGTTTTGTTTTGATGAATTCGGGAAAATTGCCAAAAAAAAATGTTGTCGATGGACCTGGAATACCGAGTCGAATAAAAAAACTATAAGTTCGATGAATATGCCATAAATATACAACAACTAATGTGATAAATACAGCAATAAGAATACTTGTTAGCATGGTGAAGACGACGTGTGTTTGCTCCTTATACGTTACTTTGCTGATATTCTTTTGCTTTTACTTTTGTTTGTTTCTCTTCTAAAAAAGGCTCTATGCAGCAGTGATACTTTATCTTTTACTAGATAAAAATAGGGACCGACCTATCAGCGACTACACTCGTCATTTGTAGAAGATGTTCTAAGCAAATAAAATAGTGAATAAGTATTATTAATCGAATATCGTTGTCATTGTATCCGACAGAAAAAAAAGCAGTTAATTATGACATGAAATATTCTTCGCATAGATCGGCAGTGACATCTGACGAAATAATACGTCTGGTACTGTTTTATTTGTAATAAAATAAAACTCAAATATGTTGAATTTTTCTTCATACCTAGGCAGATTTGATTCTATTTGTTTCTAATTGATAAATAATGTAATATACAGATTTTCTTTATTATAATCGAATTCAGAAACTATATTTCGCTGTGGTAGTTAAATGGTGAATATTGAGATGAAAAAATGATTGATTGAAGACGAACCTAATTCAAACTGGTTGTTTACATTTTAATTTTTACTGAAATTGTAACAAAGTTTCATTTTTTGACATAGAAACTCAAATTTAATAGTGTACTATCTCTCAGTAAATAATAGATTCACTCTATTAACGTATGTTATTCATCGAAAATTTCAAATGGCTAGGAATAGTTGTAAATTCAAGAAGAACAAATATCAAATTCGAATTACCTAACCATTGTTCAGTGTTTCTCGATAAAATCTTATCGAAAACTGTAATAACATTTGGATTTTTTCGTTGATTATTGATTATCTAACTTAAAATGCGTCGACTAATTTTGAAAATAATTGTTAAACCTTTTGCATGCGTCTTTATTCTTAATATAAACGCAAGTATCAAAACTTCAACATTGAATATCAACCAACGCGATCAATAATGTATTTTTTTTTCGATTTTCTGTTCAATAACACAATAACATACATATGTATATATATAAAATTCTGTTTCTCTCCATACATCTAAATTATTGGCGATCAGTCTTAATTGTCGAAACAACGTTCTTCTACATCGCCTTTGAACATACAAACATGTGATCAATCAGGTAAAATAAGATTTGATATTAGATTCAACAGAAGTTTCATTCTTGCCATCAGAAATAAGTATGACATATGCGTCAGTTAAAAGTAGTACAATACAAAAGCATTCTTCGATTGGCAACTCTTTAGTCACAATAGCTTTTCTATTCGCAATCATTTTACTCACATTTGTATTGGTTGAACATAATATGTTGACGAAAAATATGGAAAATTTAGGCTCGATATTTTTTAGATTGATGAAATTTATCTTTCCAGAGAATAATGTCTGTATTAGAAAAGTTTAAAAATAGGATATTTCATTTGTTTCAACATTGAATTTTTCATTAATAAGAAATTTCCTAATGGGTACTCATTCGATACTTCGTTCGATGGAAAAAGCGTGAATTCATGGGAAACATATCACTATTTTTGAAACAATCTTTTTCTGCGCACTTTTTCATGCGAATTCAATGTATAATAAACAGAAAATAGTTTTGAACAAAAATAACTCTCAATTGACACATATAATGATGAAGGTTCAGCTTGTTTTCTCGAAAAGTCTAACGAAGAACTCTGATCTGATTACAAGAGCAATCCAAAAGTAGCGGTGGAGAATCGATAATTTCTTATAGAAAGCTTTAAGAAAAATTCTCTCTATCTAGTCTGATAGAGAAAAAAAATGCTCTATTTTTCTATTTTATTTGATCATACTTCAACTAATATCCTAATAATAAACTTAGAGTAAGGTTTTTTTTCGATATGATATGAGTGTGGGTAGGAGTGTTCGTTTCAGCTGCATTCGCATGCACAGTCAAATCCATAGCCGCACCTGCCCACGCCTACACCTTTGGAGAATTTGCAGTATATGAGTCTATGATCAATAAGAAATCTCATCTGAAAGGCTTCATAATGGTTTGAACTTTATGCTTGCCAATGAAACAATAGCAACAAGAATACCGACTTCAGCGCCTACAAAATGCACTGCATTGATAAAAGTATAGATAGGATCAGAAATAGCACGTCAGTTTTTCAGATTCATACTAACAGACAAAAGTGAAGGTACTTTTTGATTGTGAAAAAATTCTCATAATGAACACTTTGTCGGCAGATCGTGCGTTTTGCACAGAAATCACTTATTATAGTTTTCACAGATTTTCGACAAAGAAAAATATCATTCATTAATATAAGCATATGATTAGAGCTCGAAACAATTCATTTGACAATTATTCTGGAGACGTGATATTTATCATTCAAAGGAGAAGATATCTATAGTACTTTCAATGATGTAAAATATGCGAATTTGCCTACATTAATTCATTCCATAACCTTCTCTTTGGAGACTATTGAAAACCGAAAAAGTTCAATAAATCTCGATTGCAAATACCAAGCGACGCAATATTGAGAAGAAAAAAATCTCAAATAGCACGAAGTTCCACTCTACTAGATATGTAGCGAATATAAATGTGCTCGTATAAACCATGCATCTGAAAGGATTTGATCAAAAAATCATAGAATTATCCCTACTATAGGAGTATCATAAAATGAAAGGGTATGAGTCTGAGTGTGTAGACGTGGATGGGGCGTAGGTGGAGTGTGGATTGGGTGTGAGTTTAAACAAAAACTTCAGACACCCACACATTCATATTCACACGCACATCCATCTACAAGGTAAAATTGACAAAAAAAAACGGTCAAATGCCGTTAGTATTTGACTCATAACTTTTAAATGAATTGAGATAAAAGTTTCGACCTTTCGTAGATTTGTAGCTCGTTAGTTGACGATTCTAGTTCACTCTTTCAAGATGACCATGGATCACTACTTATTTATGAAATTAATCTCAACAATTTTATATGAATCGATGCGCTCGATAAGCCTCTTTCCTATGGTGAAAATCGCAGCTCTCTATCTTGTTCCTATCAAGAATTATTCAAAAAATATCCACCGATCTTTTATTTTGGAATGGGTAGTAGTTACTTAAAATCTGACGCTATTTATAGACTGTCATATATATTTAAAAAAACAATATAGAGTTACTTAATAATTAAATAGCTGTATATTTTTTGAAAAAGTATCTCTTTTGAAGAAGCTACGATCAAACAACGCAGCTCATATGAAGAAACAGAACATATGAAAACACTTCCAAACAAAATCATCTCAATCTGATCATCTAACATGACCAAATAACAGGCGAACATCATCGTTCAACAACAATTATTCGAAAGTCATTGAAAGAATTTTCCTAATAATATGAGAAGAGATGATTCCAACCCATACCCACATTCACATTCACCCACACTCATACCTATGCCCATACTCACATCCACATCCAACTCTACACACCCCCGCCCACTCGTCTACGATGGCAAATCCTGCAAAGTTTTCTCAAATGTGCAAGAATTTTCTCTTATGAAAAATCTTTTTTCTATCAAATTTTGAAAGATTGTCAGGCAAAATATGGTTCTTGATCCGTTGTAATGGGATCTGTTAGAAGAGACTGCGACATTATCCTTTCATCAATGACATCAACATATTATCATCATTCAAGCTGTCTACTCCAGAGCAGCAATGATAAGTTTCTTATTCTGCATATCACACGTGTCACGTATCGACATACGAAGGTAATGTTTGCTGCAACTATTGCGTTCTTTACTGATTTCTTTTATCTGTCGCCTTCATATACGCCAGACTTATCGCGCTGTCAGCATCACACGACAACCAACGATGTTGCAAACACAAAACTATGCCGTTGCACAAGGTATCAACTACGAGTATGTTCATATTCCAGTCAGAGATAATTCAAAGCCAACCTTCCTGTTTCTTCATGGCTTTCCTTCGACATTCTACTCTTGGCGCCATCAAATCAAATATTTTTCTGAACAAGGATACGGATGTCTAGCACCAAATCTAATGGGCTATGGTAAAACGTATTCACCCTTGAACAAAGATGAATACAAGCTAAAATCTATGGTCGATCATTTTATTGCACTTCTCGATCATTTACATCTGGACAAAGTTATCGTTGTCGGACACGACTGGGGTACGGCACCAGCCAATCGATTCGTTTTATATCATCCTGAACGAACATTGGGTCTTGTTCTCATCAGTGGTGGCTATCGACCACCCGCCGAATTCAATCTTGATCAAGCATTGGAAGTTGCGAAGAAAGTATTGGGCTACGAAAATATTGGCTATTTTAAATTCTTTGAATCGGATGATGCCGCAACGATTATTGAAAATAATGCAGATAGTTTTATCGATCTTGTCTATGCCAGTGATCCGACATTGTGGAAAACCGATTTTGCTCCGGTCGGAAAATTTCGCGAATGGCTAACGAAAGGAAGAAAAACGACTCGAGCTTCGTTTATGACTGAAGATGATTACAAAAATCTTCGTCAACATCTTCTTGAAGGAATGCAGCCAAAACTAAATTGGTACAAAGCAGCCATCGAAAACATCAATCGGAAGGATGAGAAAAATCTCGATTCGACAATAAAATGTCCGGTGCTCTTCTTTGGTGGAATGAAAGATGCGATATGTCTGCCCATGCTATATGCCAATCAAAAACAATATATAGCCAATTTGGAAACGGTCGAAATTGACGCAGGCCATTGGATAATGGAAGAAAAACCGGATGAAATTAATCGATCAATAGAACAATGGATTAAACGGATCGTTTAAATCCTGTTCATCATATTTAATGACTCTAAATTTCTTTGCAGAGATTTGTCGATTTGATGAAAATTAGTCGTCTAACTTGTAAAACAACTTTATTTACATCCTAAAAACGAAAAGTAGTTAATACATAAGACGAAATAAATCGCCTGTAGGTGTATCCAATATTCTAGCAAAATGAAATACAACGAAAATATTGACGTGTTCACAGAAATAGGTAACCTGATTTTCAATGCAAAATTTCTAAAATGGTCTACTATGAATGATTGTAAGATAGTTATCTCCAGCAGTAAATTCAGTATTTTTCCATTTTTTTCGAAAAGTGCAACCAATAGCTTATTATAGCAATTAAATGATCACAGCCAGGTAACTAGGTGAGGGTGTGGATGTGGATGTAGATGTGGGTGTGTGTGTGCGCTTACACATCTTCTCTCCGACCACACCCACACCCTATTTAAACACTTTTTCTTGGTAATGGAAGTTCTGAGCATTATACTACTCAATAGTAGTGGTTAGCATGCTATCAATCGTTCAAATTAATGTCATTGTGCCATATGATTGAAATAAAAAGAGTTGACTCATACTCTGAATAATATCATGAGTGAGATGAATTAACAGAAATAAACATTACATGTATATACGATAGGGATACAATGATAACGATCGTCATCGGTGAATACATCATAAAAGTACCATAATCTAATTGAGTCAAGGAAGGTCCATTCCAAGAAGATAACTGAATTTTATACAATATAACAAAATTATAAGAAGTAAACCTTTCTCGAAAGAGAAAATCGAACTCTACAATTTCGACAGACTGGTTACAGATATATGATGATGAGAAATTTCCTCAGATCTTCATATGTTGACTTTCTACACTAACAAATTTTCTATTAAAAATAATTTTTGATGAGTTCCAATTAAATTTTTCTATTTCAAGTAGTTTACAATAGATACACATCAATATTTTTATGTGACAGTCTTCAAGATAATATTATTTTACTTACAACACGCTTTTGAAAAACAGATTTATAGACAACTGGATATGTTCTATAATATGAATCGACCAAAAAAGATTTTATCAGAATAGTTTTTAGTCTGAAAAACCGATTTTAAGAGTTTCTCATAGTCATATTCGGTACAATATTCAATGTCAAAAAAAGTGATATATCTAATTTCCATTTATTTTTGCTGATTAAAAAAAAAAAAAAGAAATAATAATAATCCAAGATCAAAATGTATATTATATGGAAAAGTTTATCGAAAAGTTTCATTTTTGATAAATATAATTAATGTTTAGAATGTTTATTTCACTTTTGTTTTTTTTCTCTTTTAAAATATCTGAAATATGAAAAATAGATCTGACATTTAGTCTTGATCTTTTCGACCATATTTAAGAATTTTAACAAATTCTTGATAATCAAATAAACCATTTTTAATTGGTGCTTCTTTAAATAATTCATCAACTTCTTCATCTGTATAACGATCACCAATTGTCATTAATAATTCACGTAAACGTTCGTCTGATATTTTACCTGATCCATCTTCATCTAATGACATGAAGGCATTTTTAATAACATCTTCAGGATCAGTACCCGTTAACTTTTCTCCAAATAATGTTAAAAACATCGTAAAATTTATATCACCTGGTGCTTCACGAATCATTCCATCGACTTCAGCATCAGTAACAACTTTACCTATAAAAAAATTCGAACATTCGAATAAAATACTTCTGTTTTTTTAAACAAAAATTTGATTATACCTAATGAAGCAAACATATCTTTTAAATCATCACCACTTATAAAACCATCCTAATCAAAAGTATAAAATTAAAAATAAAAAATAAAAATAAAAATAAACGAACTATACTCGATCATGATCAATAATATTAAATGCTTCTTTATATTCTTGAATTTGTGATTGATCGAACATAGCAAATATGTTCGATGTAGCGCGTTGTTGACGTTTCTTAGGTGGTTTAGCTTTAGCTCGTGATGCCATTGAATAATTTTAATAAAAATTTTTTCTACACGAAATAAACTAAATTTATACTGGATGCAATAAAGAAAAAAAACTAATATATATATCTAAACAAAAACACATACAATAAAATTACATGACATTTTTTCATCACCTACGCAAATAGCATATAACATGAATCAGTCATCATTTCGTTTTTTCTTTTCTCTTTTCTCTTAACCAACCTACATGTATGATGTTATTCATCTTTCGTTCTATTATACACGTTGGACAACCGGTGTAAATCATTCGCCCTCGCCTATCATCATCGTCGGATCACTAGTGACTCCTTACATTTTGTTAAGTTATAATACAAAAAAAAAAAGTCAAGATAAATATTGAACACATAAATCGTGCGTGTATGTGTTTATATTCCAAAAAAAAAAAAGAAGAAAGAAGGACAACAAAACTGTTGTCCTCAATCGAAACAACAGATATGTTTATGAGTGTCAAACAAAAAGAAAAACCAGGACAAAAATGTGAAAAAAAATTATACAGGAAAAAAGAGAATAGCAAATACAATATCCAGGGTCATATCATTAGAAAAAAAGACAATAAGAAATTCTCACACAATCAAATCTATTAGAAATAAGACGTCAATACATAACGACAGATAATGAAGAAAAGACCAAGAAAAAGAAACATGTTATTCAAAAATATCCTAAATCTAACACAAAGGGCAGGTACTCGATTTAAGAAAGAATAATGATCAAGTTTGTTCACACATCTGATTATATATATGTGCGTGACTTTTAAGAAGTGAAAAGGAAAATGAAATGATCACCGTCGGACGATATTTTCTTTAAAAAAAAAAAGAATTGAGTGCATTTGAAAAACAAAATCTTCTTTGAATTTATCTATTTGCCTTCGAGTTCATTTATTTCACTATTTCTTGGTGATACTAAAAGAAAAAAAAACAACGACAATCATCATCATTATATTTTTTTTTCTAGTAAATAAATAATTGGTTGCTTACACGTGTTTGTATGATAAGCATGTGAATTATTTATTTACTAGAAAAAAAAATATAATGATGATGATTGTCGTTGTTTTTTTTTCTAGTAAATAAATAATTCACATGCTTATCATACAAACACGTGTAAGCAACCAATTATTTATAACAAAAAAAACAACAAAATAAAAAAAAATTTATTCATCACAAATTATTCAAAACCGGTTAATAACAAAAATTCTGATAAAAAAATGAAAAAAGAATCGGTAAATAAATCAAAACTATCACATTAGATAAACTTCATAATATCAATAATCATGCAATAAATTTGTTTCAAAATTCAATTTCTGGAAGAAAAAAAAAAAGAAAAGAACAAACACAGGCATACATTCGAAAAGATTAAAATGCAAAAGAATTTTTGAACATGCATTTTAAATAAATTCTTACTGTCAATAAAACGACGTGCTATAAATTTTAATAATTCATCAAGTAATACAACAGGAAAAGAAATTTTTAATACAGCCATCCATTCTTCTAATGTTAAAGGACAAATTTGAAATACGGTCTAAAAATAAATATAACAATATATCTTTTTCTTTTTGTTTGTTAAATTTTAATTTATATTACATTAAACATTGGTATATAGAGAATCATCATGTGTAATGACATAGATAAAATAATAGCAAATAAAAGATATTTGTTATACCAAGGAGGCATTTTAAGAAGAGATTGATTTTCAGATAAACTAAAATAAAATCTTTTTTTTTTTTCTAAATATATATTCATTTCAATAATAACCTATTAAGTGCATTTAACATTTCAATAGTAACAAGTACTGACAAAGCCATTGTCATTGGATGTGGATCATCGAAGACATCACAATCAATATCTTCCCATTCTTTACCACCTCCACGACATTTAAAATGATGTTTCTAAGTATAAATATAAATAATAACACAAGTGTAAACTAATCGAATTAATTTCATGCATAACATAAGAAACAAACGATATGCATATATTATCATTGTATATTTCTATTTATTTACTCACCAGCTGTGACCATGTTAATAATGGTCCATCATGATATGAAACGTACCACCTAAAAAGAAAACGATTTTTAAATTTATTCAATAAACTTAAGCAATCAAAATTCTTACCAACATGATGCACCAACAGTACCTGCTCCTACGTATGCTATAATAAAAAAACAAAAAGATAATTAGTTAAATCTAATACAAAACAAATACTAATAAGTGCAATCTCTGCGGGATTAAAATGTGAAACAGCATGTAACTTCTATTGCTAATCATAAGAAGATTATTTTATTCTATCTATTTTAGACCATATTTCTTCATCATCCTTTTACTTAAGCCTCCAGCAATGTGATAAGACATTATTCATATATGGTTTATGATCGTATATCAATAGCTGTTACAGTCTGTTGAGAACGAAAAAGTTCATCTTTTTATTCCTACTGTTCAACACTGTATTTAGTTAGCTTACTTCCGATAGCCATATATCGAAAGAAGAGCCATGGTGTAATTAATGATTCTTTTGGATTACGTGGTGGACGTTCCATTATATCTAAATCAGGTGGATTAAAACCAAGTGCTGTTGCTGGTAAACCGTCAGTTACTAAATTAACCCAAAGCAATTGTACAGGAATCAATGATTCCGGAAAACCAAGAGCAGCAGTCAAAAAAATACAAACAACCTAAATGATTAAAGTTAATTTTTTTTTTATCTTCTAAATTCATTAAAATTACTTCTCCAATATTTGATGAAATTAAATAACGAATAAATTGTTTCATATTATTATAAATAGCTCGACCTTCTTCAACAGCAGCAACAATTGTAGAAAAATTATCATCAGCTAAAACCATTTCAGCAGCTGTTTTAGCTACAGCTGTACCAGAACCCATAGCAATACCAATTTCAGCTTTTTTTAATGCAGGTGCATCATTAACACCATCACCTGTCATAGCTGTTATTTCACCATGTGATTGTAAATATTCAACAATCTTTGATTTATGTG